TGTCTGAGAAGGAACGGAGAGTGAAGTTGGAGGTTTTGTTTCATCAAGAGAGGTCTTTTGATCGAGGGATGGTGAATGATGAGAAGAGAAGAGGGAAAGTTGCAGATGGGAGAGAGATTGGTGTGCCATCGTCTTCTAATGCGGTTGATGAAGTTGAAGAAGCGAAATGGAGATTTCAAGCGGAAATGTTGAGATCAGAGTGTAATTTGTTAAGGATTGAAAAAGAGATTGCTATAAAGAAGATGGAGAGAAGGAAGAAACGAATGGAGCGAACACTTAGATCAGCTGTTCATACTCTTCTCTCTGTAAGTCTGAATCTTTCGTTTTCCTCGGTTTTGTGACTGTGATTTGAGTTTGATGTTTTTCTGTTTTGGTGGTTTTGATTTTAAAGGGGAAACAGAGAATCTCAGAAGAGAAGAAAGAGAGTAAGGTTTTGGAAGATGAGATTAGCTATTTGATTGAGAAATTGAATGAGTTAAAGTCTCCAAAGGTTAAAGACATGGAAAGTAGAAACATTAGACATAATTTTGACAGACAAGCTTCTATTTTAAGAAGAGAGCTAGAGAAGTTCGATGATAGAGTTTCCGAAGATGTTTGCGTTAAAGGGATTCAGAAAATGGCAGAAGCTAGCTTCTTGGTGGTCAATCCTAGTACTCTAGCTGATCCAAATGTTCTTAGGAGCAATAATGGCAATGTGAGTGACAACAATTTGATTATAAGTGGCGGAGTCTTTTTGCTTGATGTTGATTTTTGATGTTATTTGCTGCAGATAGATACACTGAGTAGTAAAATGGAGGCGTTGTCGAAAGGAGTATTGTTGGAAAGAATGGAGAAAGAGTATGGATCGAGTCTCTTTGCGCCGTCTACGGTCTCTAAATGCATTGATCTTCAAGATCCATCTGTGCATGACATGTATAATAAGGTAAGTTTGTGAAAAAGCTCTCTCTATATATTGAGTTTAAATGAAGTTTGTGAAGATGAATTTTACTTTTTGCAGACTTTTAAAGCGCACGAGGAAAAGAAAGATTGTTCTAGACACTGTAAAGCAGTAATGAGGAAGATCGCGGATGAAGTAAGAGCAGAGGCAGAGCAATGGTCACAAATGCAAGAAATGTTGAATCAAGTGAGAAAAGAAATGGAGGAACTTCAATCTTGTCGTGATTTCTGGCAAAAGCGGGCTCTCGATTCAGATTCACAGATAGAAAATCTACATTCCTCAGTAAGATTGAATTTACGCAGCATAGATTCTTCTCGATATTGGTATAAGTTGGTGACGTTAGTAAATATCGAAAACCTTTTTATGTATCTGTTTAGGTTGACGGATGGCGAAGAAAGGCGTTATCATCAGAGGCAAAGTTGAAAAACCTACAAGCAGAGGTTTACGGATTACAAGAAGAGATCGAACGATTGAGGAAGGAACGAAAGTCGGAACCAGAGAAGAACAAATTGCCATCAGAGTCAGAGAAGAGAGTATTGATTTGTAGGTTGAAAGAAAACCGACATAGCAACAATGGAGATTGGTCTAAGTACAATGAAGGAAGAACAACAAAACCGTCGTCCTCAAGACCGCCTTTAAGGGAAATTAAAAACGGTTCAGTCGCGGCTTGGCAGAGAAACTCTAGTTTCATGAAAATGTAACAAAAAAAAACGTATTTTCTGGTTTATAAATTTTACAAACTGAGTTCATGAAAATTTGGTTTGACCATCTTAAAACAGTATTGAATTTTTTTTTTTCTTGAACGAAATTAGTTTATGAATAAACGTACGGATGAGATTAAGAGTCAACACACTTGGCAGAGAAAGAGGAAAACTCTAACGAACTCTTCCAAAAATGGCGCGCATGAAACTCAC